ACTGGAGACAGAACTGGAAAATGAAGGCAGCAATTCTGATTCCTGCATGCTCTCCCATCCCATCCCATCCCATCCCATCCCATCCCATCCCATCCCATCCCATCCCTTGAGAACCACCTAAGAATTCAGATCTATTTCCATAGCAGGGTACTTATTTCCTGCCTGCTATTCACAAGTTCTGATCTCAAGCTCCCCTTTGCAGCCACTGAGCTGTAGGTGGGTGTCAAAACTGCTTTGAGAACTTGTTTGCTGGGAAAGCACCACGGAGAAAGGAAAGAGAAGAGGCAGAAGGATCACTTCCTTGAACAGCACAGTCAAGCTGCTAGACAGAAGAGTTGCTGAGCTTGCATGACCTAAAGTTTCATTTTAACTTTTTTATGTTGGGATTTCTTGAATTTAGTTTAAAAACAAAGCAAGAAAGGGATATTGCATAATCGAAGTAAATTTCCAACTAAGAACTCTGAACTCCCTGTATAATTAGGACCCTGGTGCTCTTTGGTGTGTAAACACTGGGATCTGACCCCCATCTCCCCTGAGACCCCAGAACATTCCATTCTTCTGGTTCATAGCAGGACCCCAGAACCTCACTTCTCTGTTTCCTGGAGACTCTTTTTCTTTCTGCATCTACAGTAGAGGCATTTCTGGAGACATGTCCCTATCACATAGCTTTGTTTGGAAGCAGCTTTAGGGAGAACTTGTACAAGAGACCAAGAACTACACTTTGAGTTCCTTCCTACTTTGTTCTATACAGGACACTCATCTTATTTGACTGTTGCTAACAGCTAGCTTATTGGACTCTTACTATATGCCACTCACTCTGCAAAGTAAGTTTTCAGTGTTAGGTGGTTTACTATTCTCAATAAACTCCATTTCCACACAAGAAAAACAAAGAATAAGTAAAGATTTGAACTACAAAGAAATTAGATTACTTGTGTCTTCTTTGACATAAATACTAACTAGTAATCCTACTATCTAAATCCAGGCTTTTAACTATCATGCTGTTCTGTCTTTGCTGGGGCTGACAGTGGAAAACACTTCTCTGCAAGGTCCTGGCATCCTAACCTCTCTGGTCCCTGGTTGGATCCTTTGTAGATAATCATACATAAATTAAGTTACAGAAGAGCTTAAATATGATTTGATCATGGAATAGAAACTGTGTTACATAGGAGGTACCAATTCCCATTGTTGTACCCATGGCAGACATCAATAATCAATCATGACTTTACATTCAATAACTCAAATTAAGGCTTACTGTTTATTTGTTTTTCCAACAAACCTTTCTAGTCACCCACCATAAATCCATCGAGTTAATATATGATTGAAAACTATTTGCCATACCTGAACTTGTCAAAAACTGACACTTTATAGATGAGGACAATGAACCTCAGAGTCAAGGTTTGTTCATGGTCACATTGGACAAGTCATTAGCTAGTTATTGGTCAAATCAGGATTAGACTCTGGACATGACATTTATTTCTATTCATTTGATTAACCCTTTTTGATTCCCAAAATCTATGATTTCCACCACTATTTCTGTCATCTGTTTATTGATGCATTTTTCTATATGAAGGCTGCTCTGAGGAGAAATTAAAAATGAGGTCTTGAGGGTATTTGGTAAGACAATAACTTTATTTCCAAATTAAAAATATATGCAAATTTGACCTGTTAGCCAACACAGCCCCATAGGGTATATACATGATATACCTGGCAGGGGAACTGTCCCCAAAAGGATCAAAATCCTGCCATCTTGGAAGAACCAACAGAAAACTATAGACCATTCTCATGAACACAGATGCAAAATCCTCCACAAAATATTAGCAAATAAAATTCAACAATGTATGAAAAAAATCACACAACACAATTAGGTGGGGTTTATTCCAAGTACACAAGACTATTTCAATATTTGAAAATTAAATTTATGTATTCCATATAGCAACAGATTAAAGAAGAAAAAATCTTATAATGATATAAATATGATATGAATAAAAAGCATTTAACAAAATCCAACACCCATTCATGAAAAAACTTTCAGCAAACTAGGAATAGAAAGATTGTCCTCAGCTTAATAAAGAACATCTACAGAATACCTACAGCCATCATCATACTCACTGATGTTGAAACAATGAAATGATGTTCTTAATCATGAAAAAAATGCTTTTCTCCTAAGACTGGGAATAAGGCAAGGATATTCCCTCTAACCACTCTTATTCAATATACTGGAAGTCCTAGCTAACACAATAAAACAAGACAAGGAAATAGAAAGGTATACAAATTGAAAAGAAATTTTTAAAAATGTCTTTGTTCGTATAAGACATAATTGTCCATGTAGAAAAGGAAACACACACACACACGCACACACACACACACCTCTTGCACTGAAAAAGCAATTATAGCAAGATTGCAGGCTACCAAGTAAATATATAAAACTCAATTATTTTTCCATATGCCAACAATGAACAATTTCAATGTGAAATTACTAACATAATACTGTTCATATTGGGGCACCTGGGTGGCTTAGTCAGTTAAGCGTCCGACTTTCGCTTAGGTCATGATCTCGCGGTTCGTGGGTTCGGGCCCGCGTCGGGCTCTGTGCTGACTGCCAGCTCAGAGCCTGGAGCCTGTTTCAGTGTGACTCTCTCTCTCTCTGATCCTCCCCTGCTCACACTGTCTCTCTCTCTCTCTCTCCTAGAAATAAATAAAAACATTAAAAAAAATACTGTTCATATTAAGACCAAAATATAAAGTACATTGAAATAAATCTAGGAAAATATGTATAATATCAATATGTGGAAAGCTACAATAATTGTAATGAAAGATTAAAGAACTAAATAAACAGAGATCCCATGCTCATGGATAGGAAGAATCAATATTAAAGAAGCAAAGATAATTCAATAGAAAAGGAAATCTTTTCAGCAAATGGTTCCTGTCATTCACATGCAAAAAAAAAAATTAAAATGAGAATCTAGATACAGATCTTATAACCTTCCACAAAAAATAACTCAAAATGGATCATAGTCCTCAATGTAAAATTCAAATCTATGAAACTTCTAGAAGATAACATAGGAAAAAATTGAAATGATTTCAGATTTGGTGATAACTCCATAGACACAACACAAAAAGCCTGATCCATAAAATTAATAAATTAATAAGTAGGACTTCATTACAATGAAAAACTTCTCCTGAATGAAAGACACCATTAAGAGAAGATAAACTAGGGGAGCCTGTGTGGCTCAGTCAGTTGAGCACCCGACTTTGGCTCATGGTTTGTGGGTTCAAGCCCTGTGTCAGGCTCTGTGCCGACAGCTAGCTCAGACCCTGAAGCCTGCTTTGGATTCTGTGTCTCCCTCTCTCTCTGCTCCTCCTCCATTCATACACTGCCTTTCTCTCAAAAATAAACATTAACAAAAATTTTTTAAGAGAAGATAAACCATAGACTGTGAGAAAACCTTTGTGAAATAAACATCTGTTAAAGGACTTGTGTCCAAAATATACAAAAAAACCCTTAAAACTCAATAATGAAAAAACAAAGAACCCACTTTAAAAATAAGTGAAAGGCCTCATCAGAGACACCCACCAAAGAAAATATGCAAGTGGAAAATTGGCATATGAAAATATATTCAACATCATATGTCATTAGGAAATTGCAGATTAAGACAATAAGATACAATACCCACCCAGTAAAGTAGCTAAAATTCAAAATATGGACAATAGCAAATGCTGGCAAAGATGCAGAAAACAAATTCTCATTCTTTGCTAGTGAGAATGCACAATGGTACAGCCACTTTAGAAAACCCTTTGGCAGCTTCTTACAAGGCTCGACATAGTCTTACCATATCATCTAGCAATCACACTCCTAGATATTTACCCAAATGACTTCAAAATTTATGTCCACATAAAAGCCTGCCCAAGAATGTTTACAGCAGCTTTATTTATTATTGGCCCAAGCTGGAAGCAACCAAGATGTCCCTCAATAGATGGATGGTTAAATAAACTGATACATACATATGATAGACTATTATTCAGCAATAAAAAGAAATAAGCCATGAAAAGACACAAAGAAATCTTAAATGCCTATTTCTAGGTGAAAGCAGCCAATTTGAAAAGACCACATATTGAATGATTCCAACTGTATGACATTCTGGAAAAGCAAACATATAGATACACTATAAAGATCAGTGGTAGCCAGAGATTTGAGGGGAGGAGCACAGGGGAGTTTTAGGGCAGTGGGATTTCCACATGATACTGTAATGGCAGATACATGAGGGGAGGAGAGTGGAAGAGGTCAGTGGTTTACAAACCTGGCTCCTTCCCTCTCCACCCCTACCCCCACTGTATGTAAACAAAGGGAACTGAAGGCCTTTCTCAAACAGACCCATTCTACCTGAATAAAATATTGAGCTTCTCCTTTTGATTTCATTGGAAAGGAACTTTAGTGTCTAAATAAAATATTTTGAAACCACCACCCTTCAAGATCAGTATGTGCTGTCCAATTCTCATCTTCCATAACATAAGATTCCAGGACATTAAAACTTGAAGATTTTCCTAGATTCCACCATTCTACTAGGGTTCTATCAGGCTACCTGTGTGGAAATTCTAAAAGAGCCTGATTGGTTTAGAATGCTAAGGATCTGAGTCTGATGGAAAGTAAAGACCCATCCCAGGTTCCCTGGGCCCCAGAGAGGGCCAGAGCTTTGATTATCTTCACTCCACTATGACTTCAGCTTCCATTCTTCCTTTCCAACAGAACATTTTCCATTTCAAACGTTTCCGTTTCCATTTCCTTAACATTCTAGTGAGGTCACTTCCTATACTTTGCTTAGTACAACAATATACCCTTCCCCCTCTGCTCCACATAGTCTATTTAAATCATAGAAACTGTTCAGCTTCCTTCTTCCAGCTTTTGGAAATCACCCCCAGGATCTGGTGCCTACTAAGCATATTCAGAGTCTTACTTCATGCCCCCGCCCATACTCTCTGCTCTCTATAAAAGACAGGCAGGGTGGCCAGAGGAGCAGAGAGGCTGAAACCAACCCAGGAACTTCCATCTCACACACCCAAGCTCCTGCGCTCCCCTCTGCCATGAAGGTCTCCACAGTGCTTCTGTGCTTGCTGCTCACAGCGGCCACGTTCAGCATCCAGGTGCTTGCTCAGCCAGGTAAGGCTCTTTCTTCCCAAGGCTTACTATTTTAACTATTGTAAGTACTACCATCCCAGCATAAGTCATCCCATGTTTGCTGCATACCCTACATTACAGAGATGGAGAAGTGAAACCAACAGCGGAGATAAGAAGAGCTGTCATGCCACAATTAGCCAGAACCAGAACCAGATGCCCAGGCCACTGAGGCCAGTCCTCATGGTCCTTCCTGACACCAATTGGAGAAGAGACACTAAATGCAACCACTACCTCAATGACCCTCACATTGTTTGGGGATGTGGTATATAAGGAAGGACTATTTCTCATTGTGAATGTGAAGGACATTTCAGGCAGTAGTGGAGAGGAAAAAAAATAGTGCTTGGGGTTTCAAATTTTGGATTACAGCCAGTGTACCAGTAGCCATGTAAGAAGAATAAGGACCCACGGGCATCTCAGCATGTGACACAGGTTGACTTTAGAGCCCATGGGGACAGAAAGCTGGGAAGCAAGTTCTTAGAACTTACCTTTTTGGTGTCAGATGTTTTGGATCAGTGGATCCTCCTAATGGCACTACAGGATTAGTCTTGTCACTTGAGATTTCTCCATTCCAAATCAACAAGGAGGGGTCCCATAGTTCCAAATAGGAAACTGATTCCTGGGCACCATTTCATCTGTGGGATGTGAACTAAGGCACTAGACTTGGGAGTGTCCAGTGTTCGTTGGAACTTGTATGTTTTTTTTTGTCTTTTCCTAGCTTCTCCACCTGCGCTTGCAAATGCATGCTTATGATGCATGATAACTGTATCATTCTTTGCGAAATGTTTTTCAGGTTCGGTTTCCATCCCAATTACCTGCTGCTTCAGTGTGGTCAAAGGGAAGATCCCCATGCAGAAGCTGGAGAGCTATACAAGGATCACCAACAGCCAGTGTCCCCAGGAAGCTGTGATGTGAGTAGACTATGCCCTGGAACCCTCCACCAAAAGTTCTGTCTGAGTTACATACAAAGGAAGGAGATCAGGATACATGCCCAAAAGAGTCAGAAAAATATACCATGGAGAAACTGAGCTCATGGGAGGGAATCCATACTCGGGCCAGGTTAACCTTCAAGGAGCTTGGCCAGATTATCCAAGTTTTTGCAGCCAGGACCTTGAGGGCTTCCTCTGGGAGAAGAGCACAGTTTCCTTTTGAGGCCTTTTCCTCCCATCCTTCCCCTCCCACCTGTCCCCATCTAGTCCCCTCACCCAGAGAGAAAAAGTTGCTCAGGCTTAGGGTCCAACAGGCCACATTCCTGGACAAAACCCTCAAGGTGCTCTAGCTAACTGCCCTCTCTTCCCCCAACAGCTTCAAGACCAAAACATCAAGGGAACTCTGTGCTGACCCCAAGCAGAAGTGGGTCCAGGATTTCATGAAGCGATTGGACCAAAAGTCCCAAACCCAGAAGCCTTGAATGTTTACACCTGGACTAGAGAGACAGAGCCTGAGGAAAATCTTATTTATTTCCCCCAAACCTCCCCAAGGGCAGAGTGATGTTATTTTATTACAGTCCCAACAAGAGGCACTTTGTGTAATAATTTAAAGTACATTTTTTATGTATTATTTAATTACACTTAAGTTATTGATGTTTTGACTTTATCTGCTATAAATCCTAGTAAATGTAAAGTATAAAATCCGATGGCATGTTTTCTTTCCTGTGAACTCAGTCACGTTCATGGCAGGATGTCATTGTTCTCCCTCTGACCTGCCTGTAGTATTGTCAGGTCCTTCCATGGATCATCAGAGTGAAATAGTTCTGTATTCTTAGGAAGTCAGTGCTCCTGTATGTCAAACGTCTGCTGTGTAGTGTTGTTGATTAATGTTATTTAAAGACTATATGACATTTTCAAAGAAAAATATATAACTTTAAACTTGGTCTTTTTAAATGTTTATTTATTTATTTTTGAGGGAGAGAGAGAGAGCACAAGCAGGGGAGAAGCAGAGAGAGAGGGAGACATAGAATCTGAAGCAGGTTCTAGGCTCTGCGCTGTCAGCACAGAACCTGATGTGGGGCTCAAACTCATGAAGCATGAGATCATGACCTGAGCCAAAGTCAGACGCTCAACCAAATGAGCCACCCAGGCACCCCTAAACTACCTGGTCTTATTTCATGGGGTAACATTTAGCTGGGAGGCAGAAAATGGCAGTAATGAATGGCAATTTAGGGTTTGCGGGCTATCCTCTAAGAAGTATTTTAGACTCAACTGAGGTTCAGAGTGTTCCAGCCTTTGACTCCAGTCTCTAACATTGCCTGCACATTTCTTCTCTCACAGCACCTCCCTTTGTCGGCTCTCTCTCTTGCTTCAAACTTTTCTCCCTAACCCCAAGGTTTACCCAACTAATTAATATTCAAACCCAGACTATTGTCTAAGTAGTGAAACTAGAGGAAACTAGATGTCTATAACCTAGAAGCCTTTTTAATTTTTTTTTATGTTTTTATTTTATTTCTAGGAGAGAGAGAGACAGCGTGAGCAGGGGAGGGTCAGAGAGAGAGGGAGTCACAAACCGAAAGAGGCTCCAGGCTCTGAGCTGGCAGCCAGCACAGAGCCCGACGCGGGGCTCGAACCCACAAACCGTGAGATCATGACCCAAGCGAAAGTCGGACGCTTAACCGACTAAGCCACACAGGCGCCCCACCTAGAAGCATTTTTAAAGCTTTTCATTAAAGAATCTTGAACAGGGCTGGTCTTAAAGGATGGCATGCAATGGGAAATTAAAAGGTTCTTCAGAGCTGGTGTGAGACAGGGAGGAAGAGAGTGGGTAGAGGTGGGAATCCCATCTGGATGGACTCTGGAAAAACAAGGTGCACTAAAAGTTTTGAAGAGGAGAGAAGGAAAGTGTCACATTCCATGGTGTGCATGAGGAAGAAGGACCTGGTATCTGAGTATGGGGTGGAGTAAGGGAGGGAGGGCCTAAGGGCAGTCCACTAATGGTGTAGGGGAGGTGAAGCAGGCTGGTAGTAGGGGTGATGTTAGGTAGAATAGGCAAGATGAAGTAGTATGTTAAATGTTGGAGAAGGAACATAGACCTTCTCTTACAATCTCACAAGGCAACTATTCAGAGAGAGCCAGTGCCCTTGAGACACAGAATGAAGTTATCTCCAGCCCCAATCCCCAAAACTTTCAAGCATCTGTTTGAAGGCATGGGATTTTTCTTTCCTTAATAGCCTCTTATGGTCAAGATTCTCTTGTACTTTGTGAGCATAGCTGGCTCTGTTTTCAGACATGAGGCCCATTATAGTAAGACATGAAGACCAGACACTTCCCTGAGGGAAAGAAGACTGTTGTTCTGAGGACCCAGATCTGCAGGGCCTGTAATCACTGATCATGTGGAGAGATACCACAATCTCAGTACACTTGGAAGCATGGCACTTGGGATCTGGTCCCAGAATTGACCCTGACTCTATGTCACTTAGGACAAATCGATCTCTCTCTCTCTCTCTCTCTCTGGCACTAAGATGCCCCATACAAAATTGGAAGTTGTGCTGTTTCACAGGTAGAAAGTGAGGGGACCTGGCAGATGACCTCACAAGCCCCATCCATGTCTCTTGGAATCTTGGCCATGCCAGTTAGCTAGGATAGAGTGGGGAAGTAAAACACCCAGGATTAAAACCATTGAGTCAGGGGCACCTGGGTGGCTCAGTTGGTTAAGCATCCAACTTCAGCTCAGGTCTCATGGTTCATGAGTTCAAGCCTCGCGTCAGTCTCTGTGCTGACAGCTCAGAGCCTGGAGCCTGCTTCAGATTCTGTCTCCCTCTCTCTGCCCCTCCCCCACTCATGCTCTGTCTCTCTCTCTCTAAAAAAATAAATAAACATTAAAATATATATATTAAAAAAAAATAAAACACTGAGCCAGCCAGGAGCCCAGCCTATTGCAAGTCAGATATATCAACCTGTCTGAACACGAGCTTTCCACTAAAGTCCAAGGTAGCACAGCCAAGCCCCAGGGGCAATAAGGCAGCTAAATATCAACTGGGTAAGAAGAGCACTTATGGCTACAAGGGCTCCATCCAATTCTAACCTCTCTTCCACAGTCTCAAGGACAAACTGGCTGATGAAGTCTGGGACCAGGGTTTCATGAAGTAGCCTGACCACAAATCCCAATTTCCAAGGCTTGAAGACACAGCCTAGAATGATGCCCAGGCCACAATCAAGACACAATCCATTTGTTTCCCCCAAGCTTTGTCCAGCTAACTGCACTCTGAGATGTGTCACAACTCATAACAAACTTTGTTTACAACATCAAACATAAACACATAAGTAATGTATTATCTCATTTAAGTTATTGATATTTTACTTGGCCTAACTTGAATATTAGTGCTTTGAAAATCCACATCCTTATATTGATTGGTTAATATCTGTGAACTCTATTTATTCCCTTGTCAACTAGGAGTGAAGACGGGGGAGGTCACTTGAAGCTGATGGCCATCCTCTCGGACACACCTCTGATTTCACCCTCAGGTTACAGCTTGCCTCAGGCTGTGATTCACTTGAGTCTCTCAACATCTGCTGCCAGTGTTCTCCTCACTTCTTGTTTTCTGTGCATAGATTCCTCTTTTGGGTGCCTTCTCAGGTCAGGATATGGCTCAGCCTACACATTTTCCCAAGGCTCAGAAGTGTGGGGGAGGGAACACTGAGTGACAACCTACCACCAATGAAGGGTGGAGGCAGATGTTCAAACACTCTTGCCACCCCTCTTTCCAGTGGTGGATCCTGGGAGCTGTTCCATAGGCTTCTCAAGTAGTCCCAGGGGAATCAGTCCCCACTGCCCACTGTGCTGACCTGGATTATGCATACTTGTCTTCTCCTCTTTCTCCAAATCTGCCACCTGCTCAGCCCTGATCCCTGGGATCACTTCCAAATGAACTATCTGTACATAGGTCCTCATCTCAAGCTCTGTCTTATTGAGTCATGGCTTCATACAGTCAATATTTGTTCTCCTTTCCTTTGGTCAATGCCTGGATCTCAACAGACAAATTCACTGGCGCAGGGCCAGACATTTAGCTGGGTATTTGGTTGGCGTGTTCACCAGAATCAGGGACTTGGCCAGTGTGCTCTTTGAGACCAGGGTGGGGCAAGACTGTGAACTTGATCAGCATATTTGGTAGGACTGGGTCCAAGAAGGTGGCCCACAGTCAGGGCCAGCAAGATTGGAACTAAGTTAGCTACATAACTAGGAGAATGTTGACATAGAGAGAGATGTAGCAAATAAGCAAATGTATTGAAGATAACAGAAATCAAGTCACTTACTGTTGAAGAAGTTTTCATAGACATAATATAGGAATGTCAGAAGTCTAGGGAAAAAAAACATGTTGTGTTGGCCTGAAAATGAAGGTATTGGTGCAAACTTTAGGATTTACAGGTAGATGACAGATGATAGATAGATGATAGATAGATAGAGAGGTAGAGAGGTAGATAGATACAAGGATAGATTGTAGATGATAGATAAATAGATGATTGGTGATTGTAGAAATACACACAGAGATCATAGGATGTGTGTATGTTGAATATATGCTCAACTACCAAACTTCAAACTTCAAAACTGAATTTCAAATACTGCCAAATATTTTCCAAAACTATTGTGCCAATTTACATCCACTCCCACCAGCAGTGTATGAAGGCTAGAATTGTTTCACATTTGGTATTGCAACACTTCTTTCTGTCAATTCTTTTTAAGTTAGCCATTCTGATTATAATTTCCCATAATCCACATAATTGAGGTTTGAATTTTCATTGTATTCATGACTACTGAGGTTGAGCATCTATTCAAATATTTGTTGGATGTCTTCTTTCATGAAACCCAGGCCATGCATTTTGTCCATTTTTGGGAATGCTTAGATTTAGATTTTGTCCATTTATAGACTGGCTTTTTTAAAATTGTGAATTAGTATCTTCTGTACAGTATCTTCTGTATTCTGAATAGGAATCTTTTGTTAGATGTGTGAATTGAAACATCTTCTCATAATCTGTGGTTTTCCTTTCCACTCCCTTAAAGATGCCTTTTGATGAAAACAGCTTCCTAATTTCAATAGGGTCCATTTATCAAAATGTTCCTCTATGGTTTGTCCTGTTTTCTTTTAAGAAAACTTTCTTAAATCATCCATTTCAGAACAGGGTTTGGTCCCTGTGGAATCTGTATGGGCTGGAAGCTTTCATTGATCAGACACAATTTAAGCTAGGCCTCCTATGATTCCTGTTGGGGGCTGAATGGAAAGAATAATGTTGCAGGTGGGTGGGATATTATAAGGAAATGTGGAGATAGGAGAGAAGATGGTGTGAAGGAAGGAGTAAAGAAGCAATTTTGCACTGTTTGGGGATGATGGAGGGACTTCCCTCCTCTGGTGCCAAAAGCGTGGTATTCTCATCCTCTGCAGGCTTGTCTTTCTCTGGAGAGACCAGCCTGGGGGTCAAAGAGTACTGGTGAGTGCTGGCTCACTCCCTTCTCATTAGCCATTCCAGCAGTCAAATATCTGTTCTGTAACATGGAAAGATTGTACTATATCAATATTATTTACAGCTTTGAAGAGTAAAATGAGATGGATAGGGAGAAGAGTAAGTACAGGGTGCTTCCTTGAGCAGTTGTAGCTTTAAGCTAAGACAGATCAAGGCTTCCCAATAAGTTATTCCATGAGAATATACTTCAATGGGTAAATCTTTGAAAATCACAACATGACGGAGTGAAGCCAATTCCAGTATGTTCCGATCTAAGATGGCAGGGCACTAAGATTGCCCAGGGCTATTGGACATTGCTTGCAGGAGACTTGAATACTAAGACTCTACACAACAAAATGACTCTAAAATTATATGATTCTAAGTTCTGGGAGACTTATATTGTATAATCATCACTGAGCTAGAAAGGAGCTAGCTGAACTTCTGCTCTAAACATAACTGAGTGACTGGCATAGGGTCTCCACAAGCTCCCACTCTGCCCAGTGGTCCTGAGTGGATTTTTGGGTCTCTAGAGAGTACTGTCCATTTAGAGCCATCATCAAATAACCCCAGAAGGTATCAGTATTTATTTCCCTAGTACAGAGTCACCGTGGTTATATGGCAGCAGGCTCCTCTGGGGAAAGCTTAGCAAAGATTTACAGCATAGACCTATGGGTTTCTAGATTTAGCAACAATATTGCCAATGGCACAGTTATACTAAAAAATTACTCATTGTTTATGTGAAACTCAAATTTAATCAACTGTCATGTATTTCACCTGCAGCCTAGCATTGCAAAGGCCCTTCCTGGTCTCCCTGGTATGAAGATTTCAGGTCTTTGAACTGGGTTAGGTTTGATAACTGGGCAAGAGGCTATAAGTCCCACAAATACAGAGACTTGTATTAGGTGTCTGCCAATGAAACTTAGATTTTCTGCCTAAAGTCAAGCAGTCCCTTAGTAAGCACCCCAACCATTTCATGCCTAGGGATCTCATAATCCCTGCTGGTGAAAACACTGATTACCACTGCAGCCCTGGGGCTCCTTGGGGGTACCTGTGCCCACCTTGTCTCTGCTGCTCAGTAAGCTGCACTGTCCAGCCTATGTCATCCCAGATCTCACTCCTCCCAGCAAGATCCTAACTCAGATGTATCCCAGCATGGTTCCCCCAGCATGGACCCCAGACCAGAGGCATGAGCAACTCTTGGTCACTGGTTAGAAATGGAGGTTATTGGCACTGTGATGAACACTTCCCATGCATTATCTTATTCAACTCTGACATCAAAATGAGGTAATAATTAACCCTCAGTTTCCTCTTAAAGGCTCAGAGACGTAAGCAATTTACTCCAAATCATATAACCAGCAAATGGTGGATATAGGACTTGAAGCTATGACTGTCTGACTCCAGATCCCTGCTCCTAAGCCCACTTTCCTGCACGTCCTGAAGCAGAGGGAAGGACAGACAGGAGTCCTTAAAGCCAGGAGGGTTTGGAAGCCTCTTCCCCCACTCAGTCTGGAGGAAAGTTCGAGGTGCATGTATAGGAGTGGTCACTAACGGCAGAATAACACACAAGACTCATTCAGTCCAATTCATTGGCAAAGGCATATTTGTGGAAAATTTGGGATTTAATGTGTTAGCACAAGTATCTGGAAGTGATGTTAATGCTCAGCTGGACTGGCTGATTGGTGTCTAGTCTAACAAAGAAGCCTGCAGTTAATTAAGCTGTAAATTTGGGACTTCCCTGGGATGTTAAGAAGGAGTCCAAAGGCTCAGAGAAGTGGATCTGTTGAAAGGGATCTTGCTCTCAGGGAAGGCCGAGGGATGCTACCTTTGCCAAGGCTCTCTGGTGGCTTCACTAGAGATCAGAGATGGCTGTGAGATGTGCTGTAACTCCATGGTTCTCAAACTTGGGTGCACACCAGAATCACTTGTGGGGCTCATTGAAACACAGTCTGCCACACAACTACACATGATGATTCAAGCAATCATGCCAACAGATGCTTTGATGGTGCTCCTAAAATATGTGAGCAACCCAATCCCAGAATCCCACGTGAAAGACCATTTCCAGGAGGCACTTCTCGTACTGAGTCCAAACCTATGTCAGTCAGGGTCCTAGTAAGGAATAGATAACACTTAAATTTAAATGATCTGGGGATGGATTAATAGAGGCTATTTAGCAAAATGTGGGCTGAGTGTGGAGAAACCACAGGGGTGCTTTAGTACTCTGAGGCTAGTAACAGTGTGGGAACTGCCCCTTGACCCAAGGAGGAAAGGAGAGGGTATGTATGCCACCCCCACCCCCAGCCCCTGGAGAGACGTGAAAGCCTTTGGTTGAGGACTGCATCCAAGCTGAGGCCCAGAAGAAGCAGCAGAGAGAGCAGCAGCACCTCACCTTACTCTACTCCCTCTCCCACGCCCGCTGGGCTCCAGAGCGTACCAGCCCCGCCCACAGCTGGCCGACCTGAAGTCCCGCTCTTGGAATCCATACAGGTTGGCTTCCCAGGTCAGAGAAGAAGATGGGCCAGAATGGAATGTGTGTCCAGAGGGGCAGGTTTCCTTCCTCGCGTGGTTCTTGACAAATTTTTGTGTCAAAGTTATGTAAGACCCACAGCATGAGCTGGAGTGGAGGCGCTGGAGTGGCTCAGTCAGTTAAGCATCCGGCTTTGGCACAGGTCATGATCTCACAGCTTATGGATTCCAACCCCATGTTGGGCCCTGTGCTGACAGTTTAGAGCCTAGAGCCTGCTTCGGATTCTGTGTCTCCCTCTGTCCTTACCCCACTTGCACTCTCTCTCTCTCAAAAATAAATATTTAAAAAAATTTTTTTAAACATGATTTGAAGTGTACACTCTTTTTGATATTCTCTGAAGGAAAATTGTGAAAGATTGGGATTCCTGGAATACTTGAAGGAATAAGCTACGAAACCTCTTGGGACTGGAGGATGTTTTGTGGGAGAATTTTCAATGACTGATTCCATTTTTTCAGTAGTTTTAGACTTACTCTTTTTTTTGGCAATCTGATAGGTTATATTTTTTAGGGAATCATCCATTTCATCTAAATTAAAATTTTTGGCAGAAGGGTCCAATTTTCCTTCTGGAATCTATAAGCTCCAGGGTGACACCTCTTCTTTTATTCCTGCTGCTGGGTATCTGTGACATTTTGCATGTATTTGGTGGGGGGGGGGAGAGAAGGGCAGAGAGAGAGAGAGAGAATCTATAGCAGACTTAGGCTCGATCCAATGACCCTGAGATAATGACCTGAGCCAAAATCAAGAGTTAGACACTCAACCAACTGAGCCACCCACGTGCCCATTTTTTTTTTAATTTTTTCATGGTGAGTCTCAGAAGAGCATTAGCTTCATTATAGGTTTGTCAAAGAACTGACTTTGAGCTCCATCAATCCTTCCTAATATATATAGTTTTCTACTTCACTAATCTTAGCTCTCTATTTTGGTACTTTTGGCCTCACTGTACTTGTTTTGCTAGAGTGGAAAGACCTGCAAGAACAGAAAGCCTAGGGGAAAACATTCCAGGCAGGTCCAAAAAGTAAGCAAGATCTGGGAGCCAGGTGGGAGCATGGGGAATAGAAGGCTCAGGCCACGCCCCTTGGCAGGTGTTTTCCCCAAGTTCAAACCCGGTGCCCCTCCCACCAGGGCACCCGGGGAAGCTCGCCCTAAGCTCAAGCTCAGCTACAAGGTCGCTGCAGAGGGGAGCCAGTCACAGAAGCAAGGAGGCTGCTTTGCTCTACTCTGCAACCCCATTCCCGGCAACAGCTCTAGAAACTCAACAGTCCTTCCTGAAAACAGAGGCCCTAGACAAATCAGTGGACTTCAAACCCTACCCCTCTGGGCCTCGGAGGCTGAAGCAGGCACTAGCAGGTGACAAGAGGAGCCCTTGTCATCCATCAGAAGGTGGCCTTGATTGGTCTCAAGTACGAGTCTTCCACATAAACCTGCTCGGAGAAAGACTTCTGCAGCTAAATGGCAGTGATTGTATGTAAACAGACCAGTTCTCTCTTCCAGCGCTGCCACTCACTTCCCACAAGACTTTGGGCAAATTACTTCATCTGCCTGCACCCCAGCATCTTCACCTGTGAAAGGGCATGATGATAACAGTATACACCTTGTCAGGACTAAATACATCACCCATGCAAAGCCCTGCCACAGCGGTCTTTGGTGGCAGAGGAAGCAAGGCCGTGGAAGAGCTCCTTGGATCACTCAGTAGGGAGAGTGGTACCACATGTGTTCCTGCTTCCTCTCTGCTGCCTAGGCAGCTGGAAGGAAACAGTGCAGCCACAGCTTCCTTCTTGAAATTCCTGGAAAACGTGGGTAGCCAACCTCCAGCTCAGCAGATTCGGAAGCGCCCCACATCTCAACTTGACCATGACACGGTCCAGGCAAACATCCCTCTGGTAGCCCCTACTCTTTCTGCTTCCTCTAAAAGGCAGGCAGAACCACCAGTGTTGCAGAGAGGCTAAGACCTGCCAGAAAGCTCCAGCTCTCACGCCCAGGCTCCCCGCAGACATGAAGGTCTCTGCAGCGCTTCTGTGCCTGCTGCTCACAGCTGCCACCTTCAGTACCCAGGCGCTCGCCCAGCCCGGTAAGCTCTCCCTCCCTCCTTCCCGTCCTCTCTCCTTCTTTTTGTCTTCCTCTCCTTCTAGGAGGCCTGAAGCTGAAGCACCCCACTTCTGAGCCTATCAGAGCACTGGAAGTCCTCAGACCTTCACTAATATCTAATTTGAAAGACAGAAAGCTGAAGACCAAGTTGGGGACAGAGGGCTCTTCCTACTCATCCACCCCCAGCCATTGCAGAGCCACGATAAAACCCAAGCTGCTCACCCCAAATCCAGGGCCTTTTCTTTGACCCTGGCTGATCTTCGCAAACTCTGCACATGGAGCGTCATAGCCAGGACCTGTCACACTGGCCTGCCCCAGTCTGCAATGACGTGTCCCCACCATGCGGCTGAGAGAACCTTCAGCCACGTAGTCCAGGTCTCATCCCACCTCAGGGCTTTGAGCAGGAGTACCAGTCCTGGGGTGGATAAGATCCACTTCTACCTCTTTCCTTTCCTTTCCCCAAAGATGCTTCCTAAGCTTTCAAGCTGAGAAACACCTAGCGCCTCCTAAAAGGCTTTTTTTTTTTGGTGACTTTATGTCTAGATGCATTCAGTGCGCTGTTCATTTGCTGTTTCACATTTAACAATAAGAAGATCCCCTTGCCGAAGCTGACGAGCTATCGAATCACCAGCAGCCACTGTCCCCAGAGAGCTGTCATGTAGGTAGAAAAACCTGCTCACCCTGACCCCACCCCACCCCATTCCCACATCCTCACACCTGAAATTCCACCCCAGAACACAGGCATCAGACCAACCTGGGATCTGATACTCAGGAGATATGATTTTACCAGACTATGATTACATTGAAAACAGGCCCAGAGAGGGCTGGCTCCCATCCCCATCCTTCTCCTCACCCTTGCCCCCTGAATGGGCGCCAGCTCACAATCTCACAGTCACCTTGGCTGATGCCAGGCCAGCTTCTCTGGGGCCTCCAAGAACAGCAGCTACCTCCAGAGTCCCCTTCTTTCCATGTCCCTACATCCTCCTGTCCCCGGGAGGATCCCTCACCTGCAGCAGGTGGGCCATGCAGGTTTTAGAGTCCAGTAAGTCCTCTCTGGACCTAACTGTGCAGCCCTCCTTCATCCACAGCTTCAGGACAAAACTGGCCAAGGAGATCTGTGCTGACCTGAAGGAGAAATGGGTCCAGGAATATGTGAAACAGCTGGATCAAAAATCTCGTGCCCTGAAGCCTTGAACTCTTCCAGACACACTAAGACCAAGCCAGAGTGTGAAAAGTGACGATTTATTCTCCTCCAGTCTGCCCAGCTGTACCCTGGACTAATTTTACTGTAATTTTCGAATAGAGTGCTTTCCGTATTGTAATGTGAAAAAAAATAAGTACTAGGCCCTTAAGTAAAATTTAATGTTATTTGAATTGTTGCTGGTTTGGGGGTTATTTTTAATATTGGTGATCTTTTTTCAAAGCAAGGCCTTGAGCCAGCTGCTTCCTGTCATAAGCCCCACTTCCCTGGCCTGTAAGCTACAAGCAAAGGGTCTGTCTCCTGCCTATCTCCCCAGCCATTGTATGTGCCTCCAAATCATACTGCAATCCAGGGAACGGAGGACCTTGGGAATGTGAGGTGTGGCTAACTATGTTACTGCAGAAAGGAGAATGCAATTCGTAAGATCGTGGGCTTGTTGCAGAAAATACATTTTGTGTAAAATCTCATAGTGGTGTTTTCTTGGGGAAGGGTAACTTACAACCAGTAGGGGGCGCTCCCAGGCGCCGTTGGCTGGCAGGGGGCGCTGGAGGAATGTGGCTGTGGGGAGGCCTTCACTGAGGTTGGTGGCTGGCTGACCTGGGTTTGGATCAGCAGCCCAGCATGTTCTAGAACAATTACTCCAGCCCCAACATCAGCTTCTAACTGGCCTCTCTGGCACCATGCCTCCCTGCTCCAAACGGTCCCCAGAGTAATATAGACACTGAGTGCACATGGCCTCTAGGGGAAAACGAGATGACCGGGTCTTAGTTAGCAGCAACCATGAAGGATGCCAGAGCACAGTCACAGCAAAGATTCTTCTACAGGAGGCACAGGATGGAAAGGAACGAAGAGGGGCTGCAGGGAATGTCCACCTACTGTTCGAGTTTGGGTTCTGGGATGGAAAAGGTAGGGTTCTTTAGAAAGCATGGTTGAGGTGCGGTTGTAGAGGAATTGGAAGATCAACGTGCGGAGTTTGGAGTGAGTCCAGAAGGCAGGAGGGAGGGGCCGAAGGCCGAAGAGCCTTCAAGGGGTCAGAGGCATGCGAGGGGGGAGTGGCCTGTGATCCTGGGCAGGGTGGAGTTGGCAAAGGAGGGCTGGGGGCAGCTTACTGCCCTGCAGTGGTCTTTGCAAGAGGGATGGGAGGAAGCAGGGCAGTCGTGGGGACGGAAGGGGAGAGCCAGTTTAAGAAAAATGGGCCGGACACTGTGCTTCGGAGGAAAGGAGAGAAGCCTCTTTTAGTGCAGGAGAGGAGAACTTCTCCCCTAAAGCCACTCCTTTAAGGGTGCCAATCCTGAGACCCAGAAGCCACTGCCCTCCCTTGCTGTTCTCCCTGGGGTCCCACGTCACACCATTCGTGGCTTGTCCCTTTTGACAGGGACAGGGCCTCTGCCACCCATATGTGTGTCCCATGCTGTGTCAGGCAGTCACTTGCCATCTTGGGACATGGGGAGAGTTCTGGCCTGAGAGGCAGGAGCCCCAGGCTCTAACACCAGACCTGACCCTGACTTGCTCTGTATCCTCGGGTCTGTCTCTTTCCCTCTCCAACCCTCAATCACCTCATCTATAGAATGGGCCTAGCAACATCTTACAGGCAGGTGACCTCACAAGATCCCTCCAGCTAGGGCAGCTGTGACTTTGGGAGCCCCGACCCTGAGTTCCCATTTTCTGCTTCATCATGCCTTCCCCCACGGCCAAACCTGGAAGCAGAGAATCTATATCACTGCCCTGAATTAACGCCACCGCCCCCACGCCCCAAGACAAAGGCAGTCAGCTGAGAGGTATAAGTAATTTATTGGCTTTTGTTGACAACAAGTCAGTTCTTCCGGCACCAAGATGTCTTCCCTACCCGCACCCACCTGGCCCCAGCTTCTCAGTCCCAATCAAGTTCACACCCTGAAATTCCTGTGGGATCCAAGAAGCCCAGGGAGGCAGGAATTGAAGATTCTAGCATTTAAATATATAAAGTGCAACAACATAGCTTATTAAGACTGAGTTGACTCTCTACGACCTTACAAAGCTGGGCAGAAGGACTGGTGTAGGGTCGGGGCTGAGGCGGGGGATGTGAATCCATGCAGTCTTCAGAGTTCAGGATGGAGAGAAACCTGCTCGTGTTTACTTCGGTGGGCACATTTTCATAGATTTTAAAGATTGCCTAACCCATGGGGTTTTCAGCAAGACACAGGTCTCTCTGCCTCCCTTCAGCTTGAGTCTGTGGGAAAAGAGCAAAAGAGGAGCTCAATCACCTGAGTTGCCCCCTGGGTGAGGGACGCAAGTCCCAGCTGCCCCTCCTTGCTGCTGGGTGCCCCTAGGCTTCTCTCTCTGGGCCTGTAAAATGAAGTTGTGGCATAAGATCTGTGGCCTGTACTCTGGGAAGGACACTCGAGCCTCAGGAAGAGCTTATTCAATTGAGTTTCTCTCTTCTGGAGTGTGAGATTTGTTGTCTTGGGGCAGGGAAAAGGCTGCAGACACTCTGAGGATTGGCCAGTATGGACATTTCCCTCCTAGACTATCTATGTGGGCTCCCAATCCATCTTTTCATGTGTCTGTGTCCATCTGGAACCCTCAGTCATTGCTTTAGATTCACTGTGTGTGTGTGTGTGTGTGTGTTTCTTTTCTGACCTGCCTACCTCTTTAACTTGGCTATTGTCCAATCAAACTATAGACTAATTCTAACTTTGATTATCTGGGTGACCTCAGACAAATCTCTCTACTTCCCTGAACTTCACTGTTCATGATAATGATACTGGAAAAGGGTTAGCCAAGATCATATACATGAATGCTTCGTAGATACTGAATAGCCAGGATAAGCTACCTCGGTCTAAATTTCTAATGACTTCTGATGCAACTATCATCTTTACTTCATTTAACAGATAAGGAGTGCAGAGGAGTACCCAGATAATGAGGTGCAGAAGAATTACCTGCCCAAGGTCAACCAAGATCATAGGTTGGCAAATCCTGAGGCAGGAACTAACTGTGACCCCCCTCACTCTTCCCATTACACAGTAAATCCTAGAGCTTTTAAGCAGTTCCTTCTTCAGGACATAAAATATTAGGATATTTTACTTGGCGTCTTGGAGTTCCAAGAAACACAAGTCACTCAGGAGCACAGGGGCATCCTTCCGGGCACAGGCTAAGAAGCGCGGCGCTCCCCCTAGCGCCCATGCTGGGCTCTGTACACCCAGATCTTGGCGGCCTCGCTCAAGGTTTAGAAACCTGAACCTGGTGGAACATCGCCATCTAGCGTCTGCGATTCTAATTCCAGGTGGGCTGATTTCTGTTCTCTGGAAGGAGTTAGGAATTGACCAGGGTAGGACCACTCACATTAGACTACTGCGGGAGCACGTGGAGCTGGTGGTTTTGTAACACTGTATTTTCTGCAAGGAAATCTTTCTCTCTGCAAACACGAAGCAACAGTTGGAGGAGGACACATGCACTAGAAGGAAAACACAAAAATGGTTTGCATCTATTTCTTAACCCGGCCTTTGTTCCTTTTATCCAAGTGGTTAAAAACTAACCAACCAGCCAACACGGGAAATCTTTTGGGACGGGCCCAAGCTTGGGAACTACATCTAGCCCAGTGCAGCGTTCTCTTATCAGTCACCTAGTTCTGTACTTAGGCAGAGGGTCAGGACACTGGGGTTCAGATCCCAGCTCCCCACAATACAATTATGTGGCCTTGACCAAGATGAGCCCCCATCTGGGCCCCAGATTTCCCATCTGTCAAATAGGACTTTTGGGACTGGTTTTTAAGGAGTTTCCCATTCTGACATCCCACCACGAATGCATGGTTCTAGCCCAATATTTGGGTTCAAGGGCTCGGGACCCCACACTCTGAGGGCCCAATGAGTCTGGTACACACAGGACAACTGTAGTCTGTGGCTTTGGGGCAGGACTAGGAATGGTTCAAGGAGTTCAAACTGATGAGATGACCAAGGAAGAGCTTTCAGGAACTGAGAGGCTTCCCATGCCCTCCCCAGGCCCTCAGCTCTGTCCAGGCTCCAACCCCCACTCAGCCACTTTACACACTCTCTGCCATACCCCACCCCCAAGAGACTCGAATTCCAATCCTGGCTCCTTCCTCTTGGCTTTCTTGTCTAACAGCGTTTTTCATGTGCCTGGAATTAGATCAGTCTTCTTTCCAGAGCCCCAAGGGCAGGCATTATCAATCCCATTTTGCCAACAGGGAAGGCAGAGTTTGAGAGGTAAAGTGACTTGTCTGAGTCACTGTGCCAGCACTTGCCCAACAGTGACTAACCAACTTTTCCAGTCTCAGTCCTGACTTCACACTCTGCCTGTTATCTGTTACCCGATAGAGGCAGGACCCAGTCTCTCCTCTGATCCTCAGGCCTCCTGGTTTGGCCCAAATAGCCTCAGAGCTCCATGGATGAGGCAGGGCCTGCTTCGGCTGCAGCTAGCAGCTGAGCTATGATGGTGACGTGGATACCTTCTCCCACCAGCCCCTTGTCCCTACCCCAACCAAATCCTCCATTCACCCTCTTCAGGAAGAATTTTTCCAGGGGGGAATACAGAGGCCTTGAGTTCAGGGCAAGCCCAGCCCACAAGCCCAAAGCACCCTCCCCAAGGAGGAGTGCAGTGACTCCAACCACACTCACTGCTTCTGCTGTCTGCCTCGTCCAGCCACATCCCAGCCAGCAGCAGGCACACCAGGGCCAAGGTGATGAGCTTCATCCTGTGCAGTCTGGCTCAGATCTCCTTGCAGTGGTCTCTATGTGTCTAGTGAAGCTAAGAGCTCTTCCCTGGCCCATGCTACGGGGCCCAGAGCTTTTATTAGATGACCTGAGTGGGGTTTCCCAACCCCGGTGCAGAGGTGGGGAAGTCACAGGGAGGAGGGATGCTTACTCACACCCGGTGACCACATGGAACACTCCTTTCCCCACCTCTCCTGGGTAGTGTGCGAGGTATGGGGAAATTTCTCCGAGTGCGGGAGCAGATTAGGATCTTGAGAAAATGAGTAGGAGCTGTCCGGGCTGAGTGGGAAGTGGAGAGAGGTGAGGGAAAGGAAGTTGCCTGTTTGTGGCTTCTCTGACCCCACGTCTTTCCGTCCCAGGCTGGAGT